TAAGTATATGGGGAGGAGGGAGGGAGAAGGGAGGGGGGAATGGGTGGAGGGAGGGTAATTGGAGGGATCACTTCTATGGTTTATCTTACAAGGGTACAAGTGAATCTTTCTAAGAGTAGAATATGATTGTCTTAACACAATAACTAAGAAAATGACATGTAGGCTATGTTAACCAGTTTGATGAAAATATTTCAAATTGTATATGAGAAAACCACACTGTACCCCAGAATTGCATTAATGTACATAGTTATTATTTAATAAAAAAAATCTGAGAGAAGGGAAGACATTTTAAAAGCACAATAGAAGACTCATATGCTGTTTGAGAAAAATATTGGCAACACAAATATCAAAAATTTCTGCATGACAAAAAAATCTGTTAAATTAAAAGGCAACTGATGAACAAGAAAAGATGTATTAAAGACATATCACAAACGGTTAATCTGTTAGATAAATAAAAGCTCCTATAGATAAGTTTCTAAAAGATAAGTTACCCAAAAGAAAACTGGGCAAAAGTCTCAAAAAGTCATTCCTTAGAAGGTAATCCAAATGTTTCTACACACACACACACACAGAGTGTAGGCTCACTTCAACAAAGTATCATTTGTACCATTTTGTTCTTGGCATACAAGGTTTTCTTATGTTTAGCTCATAATATAATAAGTTAAGAACCTAACCTAGTGTGGGTATGTATCATGAATCTTCAGGTAGTGTTTCAACTTGTTATTTTTACCTTTTTCATGTTTGGCCTAACAGGATCAGGTTGGATGAGGGGTAATTTTCAGACGTGTCTTTTTAGGGGAGAAAACTGATTCTTCTATTTTGCCAAATGCAGGATTTTGTATGTGTTGTATTAAATCAGTAGAATTTTTTTCTTCTTACTATCACATTCAGACTTTAGACTATAAGTTTTTAGAGTTTAAAATGCCATTATGTATTCTCCCTTTTTAATACTTGTGATAAAGGGCAAGGAACTATGGAAGGTGGGTAGCTGGGAGAAGAGGGAGCATAAGTATAGTGAATGAAAAGGCCAGGGAGGGCACAAGAATAAAGTGAAAAATGTAGTAAAAGGCGCAGGCAGCTATCTGTCTGTCCTTCCATCTCAAACATGCCCCTCCATGTTTGAGGGGTGAAGGTTACATCTCACTGCCAATGCCGAGTGCCTCCCTCTCTTTCCTGAGCAGGGCTGGATCCCTCAGCAGCCCCATAATGGTAGCAAGGCAACCCAGGTATCTTACTGGAAGACAAAACAAGATGTACCTTTGTATTTCCTAGCCCCAGAAATTACAGCTACTTTTAATTTTCTTGCTATGCTGTTCAGGCTGGTCTCAAACTCCTAGACTCATGTAATCCTCCCGTTTTGGCTTCCCCAAATCCTGGGATTTATAGGTGAGATGTGCAATTTCTATGATTCTTCTTTTCATAGGCAGAGCAAAGCCATTTTTGAACGTGAATTTCCACAGTGTCATTTTGCAACATTTTTTTTTTTTAAGCACTGGTGTTTTCAGAGAAGGAAAATGCTCTTTAGCCTGTTTCTCCCATATACTGTGATAGAAATATCTCTTGACACTAATAGGTATTCTGAGATACATTTCAATATGTAAATTTTAGTGCAATACATATTTTAGAATAATATTGATTACTTTTTCATCCTCTTATTTCTGTCATTTGGCCTAGCTTAATATGTTTGTGTATGTGAACAAGATTTGGGTGGGTGTATGTATGTGGCATTTGAAAAAAATCAGTCTAATGGTGCTGTGGAGTTTCAACTCATCCTTGTGAAAATTAAGAAGGATGCCATATACTACTCTGCACAATGCCTAGTATGAGGAAGGTCCGGGTTGAGTACGACTATTATTAAAGGGACATCAAAAATCTAAAGAAAGAAATACTATTATTATTCTCATTTTATAGCTAGTAAGTGTTAGAGTCAGTGTTCAAACCATATTTTTCAGATAATGAATCTATTGAAACCATTAAGGGTTTAGAAGTGCAGAAATGTATATTAAGATGAAATTAGGTTGCTTATGTAATGTGATTCTACATGTAGTACTGCACAGCAAGAAAGGAAGATAAACAATATGGTACTATATAGCAAGAAAGGTGGAGAAAAAAATTGTCCCTGATGCTTAGTATTTTTCTCAAAGGATCAAAAACATTACATTCTAACTGATTTTAAAATCTTCCTTTCAGGTTGTCTCTGGACAGTTTTTAGAATGCCTTAGACTTATGGGTATCCCCTCAGTTATATATAAGAAATAAAGCAGAGATTTTTGGTTTTTAAATTTTATTTGTAAGTTGTTGTTTCACAGTCATGGGCACAGGGTTGGTTGAAAGGATTCTTTGGGGGCATTCCTTTATTTCTGGCAGAAAGGTGACTGAACCATTCCTAAAATGGTATATTAACTCAATCTGAAAATCTGTAGGGGAGAAACTCCACAACTTTCATTTGTATTAATTCAGTTTTGGGTTTAATAACTCTGGCTGTTGGGAACACTTTCAATTCCCTTGAGGATACAGGCTTCCAACACAGTGGGTATCATTAGCTTTATCAAAGCAAACACAAATGCAATGAATTGGCCTAGAGAATAGGGATCCAGTCAATCTTCAGATCTTATAGATAATGCCTCTCACAAAACATTACAGATAGTAGATGCCAAATAAATGCTTATTAAATTGAATTGAACTGGAAAGCAGGGAAAAAGTTGTCAGGTTAGCAAAGAGCATCAATGACGTGAAGCTTCACTGCTGTGTCTTACTTGCTCATTTCTTGACATCAATACTTAGATTCGGTTAAAAAAAAATTTAGGTAGAACAAGGAAAATGGTGACTTTTCTATGAAGATCATTCAAGGATTCATTCAACCAATATTTAGGACCTTCCACTGTCCCAGGTTCTGAATATTTTCAATATATGTTTTAAATAGTAATGTGTAACCATAAGAATCTCAGTGGATTCCATGTAAACGAAAAGTTCCTGATATAAGAGTTTAATGAGCTCATGAATGTGGTCACATTCCCTAACTTCAGTAATCACATAATGCCAAGTCCCTTGACAATAACATTAGGTCACCTGCACTTTCCCATCCAGAACCTTAAAGTTAGGAAGTTAACAGTGATTTAAGAAAGACAGTGTGGTTGCTACAAAGAATAATGGACAAGGAATTCAGAAACTAGGCTTGGAAGTTGTGTCATTTCTGTCAAGTCTATTAATTCACAGAATTAGTTTCCCTGCCTGTAAAATAAGATGAATTAGAAAAATGTGTAAGCCTGATAGTCTATAGTATTAAATTAACAGATCTAAATAACTCTAAATTCCAGGAAGAAGGTAAACTCTACATTATGAATCTTAGGTCAACTCCTATTAATGATGCACAAATT